ATGACATGACACCAAATTTATACCTACTTGCAGGCGTTGTAACTTAAATTGGTAGCATTGGCGCGTAAATTGGGTGTACTGAATTTGGTAGACATTTACTAATTTTGGCTTCCGATTACATTTTAAAGTATGAGCATAACTTTATCAGATAAACGCACTTTTTAAATTGCGTTGCGGATATACTTTTTTACGCATTTGTTTTTTGGTACACTATTCATTTTTTGGTATACCTTGTCGTTTTAAGGTAAACGTGTTTAGGTATTCAAAACTGATTTTGGTATACAATATATTTGTTCCCTTATTTTAAGGTATACCGGGAGTAACGGAAAGGGTATAACAAGCCGAAAGGAGGTCAAGGTACTCATGAAACTGAACAACTTTCCCCATGGAACATGGGTCGAAATATGAAAAAAAAATTTGGGCCTCCCCTAGTAAATCAATCAGCTGATCGGCGATTTTGTATGGAAGGTCCAAATTTTTTTTTCACATTTCTACCACAAAATAGAGAATTTACAGAAGACCAGCTCGCCCCTTCTTTCGATCACTTATGCCTACTCTTTAGGGTTGCTACTTTTACTTGCCCTCACGAACTTTAATAGGTTAGGTACCTATGGTTGGAAGGCAGGTATTTTTGAACAGGGATTCAAGCCATCATGAAAGTAAACGTACCGTCACTAGTCAGTTCAGTCGCACACAGATTACCTACCTACCAATGTATTGGCGGGCGGGCGATATGCGCTGGGAAAGGTAGGTAGGTAGGTTGGTAACTATCTATCATGACATGAACATGATGATATGACAAACGTACCTACTTGTACGTACGTACTTAAAACGCTAAAGCACTTATTACGAAGTAAATAAGATTTTTAAAAAGAAATCCCGCCAATTCTAGTGTTTTGAAGTAGGTATCTATATATTTATCAAATAAAAGAGTTCTACTTACTTTTCATTATTGCGTGGGTAACTGAAAAATGACAACCCACAATTTTCTGTGGTGTTATTACACCCAAATACACCATAAAAATATTTTTCTTTACTCGCCATTCCGTCCGCCCGCACTGAACGCGCCATTCACACTCAACCAGTTCCGGTTCGACACGGTTCCACAGAGCGCGTAAACGACGCGTGTGGATGTCTGAGTGAGTTTAGCCGCGTTTGCTCGAAGCCGACTCTCTGGATTGCGCTAGCCAATACTTACTTTGTGTTTCTACCCATGTTCCATGGGGAAAGTTGTTCAGTTTCATGAGTACCTTGACATTCTTTCGGCTTGTTATACCCTTTCCGTTACTCCCGGTATTTAAGTTTTTTTAAATTGTATAGTAGTAGGTAATAGTAATTTAATTTATTTACCATTAAAGTTTATTTAGAATAGTTATGTCTGCTGCCTATTTACCCTATAATTTAAGAATATTTTTATTTTTTTAGCTTAGGAAAAAGTAAGCAACATAACTGTTTTGTATAAGTTTAACTATTTATGTATGTTTATTTATAATAAAGAATTTGTATTCGTATTTGTTGTAACTGGCTAGTAGTATTACGTAGTTTCGTTGAACATCTCTATCGCGGCGGCGCGTCGTGCGGCGTATCTTGTTTCTGGTAGGTGGGGGATTCCCCGAAAAGTATATCAGAAATATAAGTTGGTAACAAAACTACTTACTTTATACGTAGGTAAGTATGTAAAAAAAACAATTGCAAATATTTTAAGGGGTGAGCCAGCTCATGAAACTGAACAACTTTCCTCAAGAAACATAGGTCAAAATATGAAAAAAAAATTATCTCCTTCCTATACAAAATGTACCAGCCGACCGAGTGAATGCGAGGCCCAAATTTATTTTATTTCTTTTTTAATTCGGACCTATAGATCTTTCGAGCATAACATAAATACTTAGGTATGGATTAGGGAAAATTTTACCCGATTTGAAGACATATAACTCAATGTTTGAAGAGCGTGTGAAACAAACAACGGGCCAAATGAGGCAAAAAACACACGTAACGTCTTTTTGTGCGTTATTTTTACGCTGCGCATGCGTTAGGACAATACGAATTTCGACCTTATTCTGATAGGTAGGGGAGACTGGGGACACTTGATCCCCCACTTTGATTTTGTGATCTCATGTGTACATTTTTTAACATATATAACCCGTGTTTACACTAAACGATGCATAATTTAACCAAGTACCGTTTGTGTATGTGTAGTTAGGATTATACCATAGTTGTAAAAGTTATTTAAAGAAAACTGGAAAGACAGATTTGCACCATGTGTCCCGTATATAAGGGAGAAATGATCCACCTAGTTGGATGACTTGATCCGCCCCGGATCAAGTCTCCCATAGTATGGGAGACATGGTTTTGTTTATTAAATATGTGAGGATCATGTGTTCCATAGTCAGGGACACATGGGACATTAGGTAAAAGTAAATGGCTATTTTATCAAGTTTAGTTTTGTTTTCTCTCCCAAATGTAATCTAATAATTTACAAGTACACCTAATGTAATGAATAACTGTTTATAATCGATCATATAACCATAAAAAAAAATAACTTTTATAACAGTCTTGGATCATGTCTCCCATAGGAAAAATACATTAGTGATAAAATGCTATCAAACGAAAATATTATTTAACAATGTTCCATACAGCCTGAATATACACGATATTTAATCAATCAGTCTGAATTACAATTTTCTTACTAACTGATCCCCATAAGGGAGACTTGATCCTAGAATCAAGTGTCCCTTTAAAAAATGTACCAAGTCTCCCTTATAGGAATAATTTATACTTTAGAACAAAAGAAAATTTATACTTTATATAAACGTTATTCTTCAATCAAAACTCACTGCTAATGAAATATCCTTAATAATGAAACTGTTTCTTTTGCAAATCTTCATTTATTTGTATAAAATAAAAGCCTGCCAATACTCGTCAAAATGATCTTGCGCCGCCATAGAAAATTTAAAGACCTGTCATTTTGAAACATGAAATAGTTGACACATATGACTGCGAAAAAAAGTTTGCCCGTACAGTAGACAAACAGTTTTGCTAGCATTAATACACATAGCTCTGGTAGATTTTCTGGAAATTAAAAGTACCATGTCTCCCACAGGGATCAAGTGTCCCCAGTTTCCCCTATAAAATAACGCACAACGTTACATGTGTTTCTCGGCTATTTCCTAAACTATAATAGCCTAGTTCAATTATACGTATGTAAAAAAATCAACTGTAATTATTTTGAGAGGTGAACCAGCCCATGAAACTGAACAACTTGCCCCAAGGAAAATACCTAGGTCTATAGGTAATAAAAAAATTTGGTCCTTCAATACAAAATGTACCAGCCGACCTAGTCAATTTGTATGGGAGGTCCTTTATTTTTATATTTCGACTTAAGTTCCTGGGGGAAATTTGTTCAGTTTCATGGGCTGGTTCACTCCTTAAAATAGTTATAGTTGATTTTTTTACATTTTTATATTCTGTGGTGATTATAGCTTTATACAGCTCTATCTACTTCCTAGCTGCTGAACTGCAGTTAGGTAGGTATATAACATAGGTAAGTGTAGGCACTCTTGAATATGATAGATACGAGATAGTAGATAATGATAATTTCTACTATCTCGTATCTATCATATTCTAATGCAATGATAAGTAAAACAGGCACTTGTATAATGCAAGCATGAATTCCACTGAGCATGATAGATATTACCTACCTAGGTACTTAATATAAATTAAGCTGGCAATAAAAACACTCATACGTGACTTGCATGAGTAAGTTGATCCGTGCAGGTATACAAAAAAAATTACACCGACACCGACAAAAAATTTACAATTTTACAAATATTATATTTCTATCCCGTTCCCACATTCGGAATCAGGCGGTGCGTACTGCGTAGTCATCCGTAAGAGGCAAGCGTCCATACATATGCCAGAGAAGATATAAGCACATACTTACTTTGTGATATAAGGTAACGTACCTAATAAAGCTATTTATTGTAAAATACTAGTTCTAATAAATACAACCTAACTTATTAAACTAATTAAAAAGTCCACCCCGAAGCGTACCTGGTTCGAAGGTGCCCATCACGCCCGTGTATGTGTATCTAACACTTTTAAGGGCGTATTCTGCTCACGAAACAAAACTGAAAAACTTTTATTAGATAATTATTATTATCTTTTATTAGTTACCTAATTACTTCTATTTTTATCTAAGCATTCTTAAAACATTTTGTACCTACTAAATTAAATTTTAACCCTATATATAAAATGCACGCATGCATACGTTATTATTTACCTCCTCCTTTTTTGAAGTTGGGCAAAATAGCATGTCGTCCGTCACTCGTCAGCAAATATGAGCGACAGAGTAGCCATTGCTGGTAAGGAATCCCGGGATTTCCCCGTACTTCCTGTGTGGTCGGCCGGTCTAGGCGTGGCTGGCTGACCCCCGGAGCCTGCGGTAGCGATAACAGGAGGCATGGGGGAGGGGAGGCATATCCTTTGTCCACTTATATTAGGCTGTGAGCACACCCAGTGTTACGATAATCAATGAGGATTTTTTGACAGCAGACAGCTACACGAGTCCGATCTAACTTTTCAGATTGAGGGGTCGTCTGTCGAATTCACCACCATGACATGACAGTTGACATTTTATGATGGGTACATGGGTAGCAGGACTCAATCGTTTGACAATTTGTACCCAATTATTGCGCCGAGGCGCGCCGGTTCCGAAGCTCCATCGTCTACCTACAGTAACAATAATAATGCAAAAGATTTGTTTGTTTGTATGTAGGTAATTCATAAAAAAATTGGATTTCTGATAAACTCGACTTTATGCCCTTGATGGACATCTGTGACTTTTTTTTCTCAATAAAAATGTCCAAATTTTTTATGGTTCTTTCAAAATAGGAGGAGATCACGCTTGCTTAGAACAGACTTCAATAGACAGAACCATTATTTAGTTAGATGGTCGGGTATTTACACAACCATTTCAGAACCCATAAATTGAAAAATTTATTAGCGACCGCCGTGACTTGAAGCCGGGACCGTGGGGTATCGTCCCACCACTCTATCAACTGAGCTATGGGCGCCTGGCAGACCCTGATGAGTTTTTCAACCTCTTGATGCTTTTCAACGTCTCGAAGCGACGATCAAGCGACATCTAGTAGTAGTTTTTACAACTAAATACGTGACGCGTGGCGATTAGGTGTCAGTTTGACGCAAGTTTGACGTATTAGTCTGACGACGACGAGACAGATTTTTTCATAGTCTAAAACATGGTCTTGCATTCCCAGAGAAACACAAGTCTATGTCACTAGTATTGCCACTTTATTTTAATAATATAGGTACCTACGTTATGGGGTAAATTTAATCTCAGAAAAATGAGCTAAAATTTTTCTTAATAATTTTAATTTACGTGTGTATTAACTTGAACCTTACAACATCACTTAAATTGTATTTATTAGTTAACAGTATCATAAATGATTTACAAAAAACCCATAAGAGTGGGTAATTCTGGTAACCCACAAGCATGATGACGTAGGCTTGTGTTAGTCACGTGGTTCACGAGTCTCGGAATGGAATACCAGGCGGAGTATCTTATTTTATTACCATGGATTTTTTAATTTTTCTCCCGGTGTACCCCGAGCTTAAAAACACAATCATTCGTTCATTCCAACCAATGGTCGGTTTCTGTCGCAGATTGCAGTACACTCATTTCATTCATTCACTTCATTATTTTATCCTCCACGCCAGTGAGAGTATAGTATTCTTTGATTTTATCGTTTGACCTGCCTGATGCGAGCAAGCGCGCCATATTGTTCAATTAAAGCAATTTCTTATTTTTTTAATATTTTATAAATAAGTGTTAATTTTGTATTCACTCTAGCTGTGAATCTGCGACTGATTGACGGTGAGTTTTTTTTACGATTTGGGAACTTATAATGGAAGGTAGATGTGTAGAATCCTAGAAATTCATCATTGGTCATAATGTTGGTCATCAATGTCATCGTCATCAATTCATCATCCATCAGAAAGGTCGGTGTAGTAAAAGGTGCAGCCAACTTTGTATCAGATCTAGAACTTGCGCAGATAAAGAAAACTTTATTTAACTTTTTTGTACCTACAAGATTGATAGAATTTTTTTTTTTTAATAATTTTAGGACACCTTTATTGATACCTAACCTACCCTTCAGCCTATGGCACGGCACTTTAATACAGGGTGTTAGGAAAACTTCAAACCATGCATTGTATATAGGTATAATAAAGTAAAGTAACTATACAATGTGTCACAAAACAACCAATAAAACTCCCATCATTTTTTTCATGGGTCAAACCCATGCAAGTTCCATGGGGAAAGTTGTTCAGTTTTATAAGTAACTTGAACTCCGCTCAGCTTTCTTTATGTTGCTGTACCCATTCATTCACGTCATTTGTATGTAGGTACTATCTTTGTATGTGAATTTGACTATGCAATAAAAACTTGAAAACTTTATTGGTTGTTTTGTGAAACCCATTGTTAAGCACAAACATTTTATAATAAATATTAAAAGATTAAAATATTATTCAAAAATTCTATATCAATCTGTTCAGCCCTATACAACATAGTCCGCTGTACAGTCAATTACTGCTAAGACAACTTTCCACCGTTCCTTTGCCGCTTGTAAAAAGGTCTATACAATGGTGCAAACGCAGCTGTGTGTGACTGCAACGACGTGCTACCTATATCACTCTCAGAACTCGGGTTAACATTTTAAAAAATAGTTTTTGTAATTTAAATAAGTATTGTTTATAAATTTTTTGAACATTCTCAAGACACTTTGTTATACCTACAGAAGTTGTGGTAGGTACTCTTCCCTACACACTGTATTTTAAAAAAAATACTACCTAGGTTGTTTTAAGATTAAATAAGTAAGTATTATTTCAGGGTGTGTTCTACTCACAAAACTGAACAACTAAGTATTCCAAGAAAAAAAAAAGAATTGGGGCTCCCCCACACTGTGACACTTTTTCAAAATTTTTTTTGGGTAGTTATCCAATTTCATGAGTTGAACATACCCTGAAAATATTGAAATTGATGAGACCTAACCATTTAAAATAAAATATCTTATACCATCCCTGATGTCAGGTTGGCCGGTATATTGTTTTAAGTGGGTATCATATTTATAGCTGAAATCATAGTTTTAAAACTATACCAATAAATAGTACGTAGTAGTACCTATTCAATCATGAAATAACCCTTTAGGCACAGAATGCAAAGTCTACTTTACCCAAATTACTACTACAAATTATAATAATCAATGGCATAAAAGATAAAATATAATATATATTTTTTATAACCAAATCCAGTCTACCCTAGTAACTGCCACTGCCACTACTGCAAAGGTTTTTTTTTACTAATATTCATATTACGAAGTTCGTGTTTGAGTAGGTACTATTTACGTACTTTTTATTGGTATAGGTTTTAGAATAATGGATATAGCTATTATTATGATATAATATAACAATACAACCGCCAACATGACGTCAGAACCGATGGTGGGTTTTAATATTATAATTAAAATGTTGAGGTAATGTTTCTTAAATCGTTTATAGGCACTAATTAGGTACTAAATTTCAAAATAAAATATATTTCATTAAATTCTGTACACCTACATGTGCCATCCATGACGTCCACGAAACTTCGCCTGAAAGTGCAATTTACAATTGAAGTTTCGAAACTAGTTATGTTATGTATACCCCAGGTAGGAAGATGATGTCGACAAATCGAAAATATAATATATCCAAAGAAAAAGACCACTGTTTTTCTTGTATTTTTATATTAAACTTTTCGTTTCCAGATGACTGCTCCAGCTATCGGCATCGACTTGGGCACGACGTATTCCTGCGTCGCTGTGTACCGCAATGGACGTCCAGAGGTAGGGTGAGAATCCACCAGAGCTGTGCGAGGAAAATGTGTCGTACGAGGATGCGTAGCTGTGCTGTGGAAATGTGTAGGGGTTTCCACCAGAGCTGTGCGAGTAAAATGTGTCGTACGAGGATGCGTAGCGGAGCTGTCAAAATGCGCATTAATGTGCGGAGCGAGGATGCGTTGCGAAGCTGTGAAATGTGTGAGCGGGGGGAATGCGATGTAGTGGAAACCTCGCAACACATTTCTCGCAACGCATTCCTCGCAACGCATTCCTCGCTACACATTAACGCATTCCTCGCAACGCATTCCTCGCACACATTTCTCGCTTGTTTTGTATGTAGAATGGCCTCGCTTCGCTCAACCCTATTCCACCAGAGCTGAGCTGAGCGAGGCTAGGAAAATGAAGTGATTCTATTGGTGGATTTTTTCCTCGCTCACCGCCTCGCTACCTCGCACAGCTCTGGTGGATTCTCACCCGTAATGTCTCTTCTCCTCTTGGAAAACTTTCTTCTTCGCGTGTCGATGGCTGTGTACGTTGGTAGCTACGTTGACAGCGCTAGCAGTCGCTGACGATCTTCCTGCGTGCAAATTTTATAACTACTAAAGTAAAGTACCTAATGTAGAATACACCCCTTGTACCGATGCTCAACAGCCGGAGCTAACAGTTCCTCGTAACTAGTTGACCCATTTTAGTGAGGCCAATCAGTCTGCAGGGTTCGGTAAGGGCTTTCACTCGACATAACTCTTTCGACAGCTTTCTTCTTCCTTCTTAGTGACCACAAAAATAGCCTCTTTTGTGTGATACATAGTTTAGGTACATAAATAGCACTAACTGTAGGCTGGAAACAAATTGCGTTATGAAATATTAATAATTGCGTGTTTGGTTAGGTCAGGTACTATTGACGTACTATTTACTGGTATAATTTATTGTTGTGGCTATTATTATGATATACCTAACAATACACCGGCCAATCGTAAAATTAAGCCATATCCTTTTGCAACATGATTTTGTGTTCAACAAAACGCATTGTGCCGATCCCAAGTAATTTGGATAAAGGCAGGAAGATGATGATGACACCGGCCAACCGAATCGTCAGAGCCGCTGCTGTATGGGGAGTTAAATAACATTTTGAGGAGCTGTTAATTATTTTATTGGAGTACTAATTAGAATTAGGTAGGTTTCAGACACAATTTTAAATCTGAACACCTACATTTGCCATCCTGTCGTTTACTAAATATGCCCACACCATCAGTGTCCCAGCAATGCGGCACGTACGGATCTAAAAGGTGTACGTTTACCTTTAAAATACCTTTTTTCGGGCACTAAAATACGTTTTTTTCAGGTGATCGCCAACGCTCTCGGTAACCGAGTGACTCCATCCGTTGTGAGCTTCGGCAAGGAGAGGCTGGTCGGAGATGCAGCCAAGGAGAAGGAAACGCAAAACCCGGAAAACACTATATTCGGTAAGGTCAAAAATATTTTTATAAAAAACTAGCGGCCCGTCCTTGGTGTCACCCGCAGCAGCTCATTTTTCCGCACCAAATCCATACCAAAACTGTAAAAATCCTTAGCTAATTCTATGTTAGAGGAACGCAAAAGCTACTTCATTTTTAACAATGTATTGAAGTTACAGGGTACTGAACAGGCATGTCGTATTAGATAAGTAGGCAGGTATGTATGACGTTTTATAAGGTTGCACCCGCTGCTAATCGTTTGCCCGTAAGAATAATATGTTTCCCGGCATGTATTATACAAATAAACCTTGCTCTTAAATAACCCTTTCTGTTAAACGATTTAAAATAAGTTGCGAGGCTTAGGAGTTAGGCATCCACGACAGACAGTCAGAGTAACGCAAAAGGCGACTTTATTTTGTACTATGTATTGACTTCATGTCCTCATGATAATGTGGATAATGATATGATTATGACACGGGGTCCAAAGTTCCAAACACATGCGGTAACCCCTTCTAGGTATAGATTTGACGCCTGTCGGAAAAGGGTTTTTAAATGGCCAGACTTTAATCCGTAATAGTTGTAGTTTGCATTGCCACATGATGGTTATACTGGGTGTTACAAAACAACTAATAAAGCTGAAATGAGGTCAAGGTATTCATAAAACTGAACAACAACCCATGGAACATAGGTCCAAATATGAAAAAATAATTTGGGCCTGATTGAAAT